TATATATATATATATATATATATATATATATATATATATATATATATATACAAACACACATCAGGATTAGTATGGAACGATATTCCGGACAATTTTCAAAAGGAATTGCAAATTGTATTTTCAATTGCGTTTTCCATTTGTGGACGCATAAATTATGACATAATCCAAATGCAATTGCAAATCCTGCATTACCCTTTGCATTTTCGCTTTCGCGAATGCACAGTGTTAATTTGCAATTCCTTTTGAAAATTGTCCGGAATATCGTTCCATAATTTAGATTTATATGAGCAAAAATAAATAAATAAATAAAATAAAATAAAAGGGATATTAAAAGATTTGTATTTTTAAGAGGCAAACCAATAATTTAGAATAATTTAGCGTAAAGAAAGCATATTTTGAAGACTCGTGAGAATTTCTAAGTGTTTGTGTCAGTATTGTAAAGTGCTTGTTCGTACCTGTGCGCCATGCTGCCTTTTGTAATGTCAGATATGATAAGAGGCTCTCCTGGTTTCTTACTAGCTGTAGAAAGATGGGAAAACAAATCAACAGTACAGTGTTTCAGTGTATCAATGTATAATACTGTATAATGTATTTATTCTATCCCAATGAATTAGACTTCCTGGGAACTGCACTGATAAAATGAGTCCTTTGAATGCAAATATGTGTCTTTTGATTAAATATATATATTATTATTATTTTTTTTTTAATGATGACAAATTAAATGTTCACTAAATTACAACACACAAAATTACCATTATTATATAATAAATCATTAATATAAAATAACAAATTAAATGAACACTGAAACAGTATATAATAAACAATAACATATACTATTAATAATATATAATATTTTATGGGAACACACATGCTAAGAAAATGTGCTTTGAATGCACTGAGAACCACTCGTGTTATTTTCACTATTGCAATCTCAAAAAAAAGAAAAAATAGTTTTTTTTATCCATCAACAAGGTCATAGTTTGGGTTTGAAACCATTTTGGTTACTCTACCAAACGGGCATGTTTTTAATCAGCCAGTCTCCAGTTATTACATTATAGATCTGATTAATTGACATGACTGATATATATATATACAGTATATGGTTAACGGTAAATTCCCCTACTATATACAGTGAAAAACTGTATTACATGTATTGGACATTAATTTTATGGTAGTATACCGTTTTTGGAAGTGAAAAAGACCGTATAATTTACAGTGAATAACCGTAAATTCACATTCCCAGAATTCCCTGCATTACATTTCAATTTTGATGTTTTTTTGTTGAAATAACTATGTTTCTTCTTAGTTTTTTCTTATCAGTTTTGTATATTAGGGTTGTGTGTTACACCTAATGTTGTTAAATGAATGTTTATTGCATTATTTCAGTTCCATGTGTGTTACCATGATGGTGTTTGGTGTTTGTGTGAATGACACTGTGCACCTTCTATATATGTTATTATTTAAAAGCTGCTTGTGATGGGCTTTGGTTCATCATGTGACTTTCTCATCACCTCCTGCATTTGGTGGTTATCAGTATATTACAAAGGTGCAAAACAGATTTCAGTACTTCAATAGG